CATTTTGTATTTTTTTGCTAAAAGTGAAGAATTTTTCCAAAGCTTCATTCTTTGAATGCAAAAAAAGAACCCATGTGAATCCAGTAAAGTCATTAATAATAACAAACCTATATTGTTTTCCACCAAGACTCATTGTTCTAATAGGACTAAAAAGATCAATATGAAGTAGTTGAAGAGGTCTAGTAGTTGAAATACAATTCTTAGCTTTAAAAGAGATTTTTTTATGTTTTCCTTAAGCACATGCATCATAAATCTTATCATTTTTATATTTCAATTTTGGCAAACCAATAACCAAATCATCTTAAGAAAGTTTTAAAATTACATGCATACTTGCATGTCCAAGTCTTCTATGCCAAATCTAACTTTCATTTTCTTTTGAGCCATAAAAATAAATATTTTTAAAGGAAAGATCATCTAGATGCACTACATAAATATTTCCTTGAGGATGTCCAACAAAAATAAAATTTATTAGTTTTGATATCAATCACTTGATAGCATAAGGATTCAAACATAACTCTAAGTCTTTTATCACATAATTGACTAATACTAAGTAAGTTATGCTTAAGTCCTTTTACAAGTAAAACATTTTCAATAGTAGTAGAAAAATTGTTACCAATGGAGCCAATTCTTTCAATTTGGCCTTTTGAGTTATCACCAAATGTAACATCTTCTTTACTTTTAGCTTTTAAGCCCTTAAAAAGAGTTTTATCTCTGATCATGTGTTTTAAGCATCCATTATCAAGGTACCATGGATTGTTCTTACTTGAATTTGCTTTGTAGCAATGCTCAATTCATTTACAAAAACATAATTAAATTTTTGTTTTGGGTACCTAAACTTTCTTGGGTCCTTGAGTGTTAGTACTAATAATTTTTATGCCTTTTGGAATTCACTTCATTTTAGTAATCTCATCTTGAGATGTGTTAACTCCTTTTGGAATCCACACTCTCCTAATGAGTTTACCTCTATAAATGACTTTCTTCAAGGAATAATAATGTATGGAATGACCTAATTTATGACAATATGCACATATGCTAGATGAATTATTTGGCTTAACAAAAAAATTCTTTAAATGAGTCTCTTTGTTGCCACCATTATAGCCCAATCCTTCTTTATCAAAGAATGCTCTTTGTGTTTCAAGCATGTCATTGAGCTTTTGATGTTCCATATAAAGTCTAGAAAATAAGTTTTGCAAATTTTCACTTTTCTTAGTCAAATCATTGACATTCAACTTTAGGAGCTCAATTTCCTTTTTAAAGTTATCCTTTGCTTTAGTTAAGAATTCATTTTCTAGTTTCAACTTAAAGATCATTTTCCTATATTTCATATTCATGTTCTCAAATTCTATGGTTAATTCATCATAAGCATCTTGCAATTCATCAAATGTGTATGAATTTAAATCATATAGATTAAAAGTTATCTTGGGCTCATCAAGAGTCATGAGACATAGATTGGCTATTTTCTCCTTATTTGATTCATATTTAGAGAAGTCACTATCACTCTATATTGTAACCATTGCTTTATTATTTGGTTTTATCATGTTTTACTTCTTCCACAAAGGATAATCAAATTTAATATGACTTGATTTATTGTATTTATAGCAAATAATTTGCTCTCTTTCTCTTTTACTTGATTCTCCTTTAATCATTTGCTTTTATGGTCTTCTTCTACTTGAGAACTTGTTCATTCTTATAAACTTCTTGAATCTTTTTGCAAACATGGCTATCTCTTTATCTTCATCATCCTCTTTTTATCTAAGATTTTCTTTATATTCTTTAAAGATTGATTTGAAAGCAATGCCACCTTTCTTGATTAGTTTTTGTCCTCTTTTGAGCTTTATTTCATAGGTAAGGAAAGAACCCATTAGTTCATCCAAAAAGAATATGTGAGGATTTTTAGACTCTTCAATGACTATCACTTTAATTTTTTAACTTTTTGGTAGACTATTAAGAATTTTTTTCACCATCTCTACATTTGAGTAAGTCTTCCCAAGAACTTTTAAACCATTAATGATGTCAATGAAGTAGTTTGACATTTCACTAATAGTTTCATCTTAAATAACTCATAATCATGAGTAAGCATGTCAATTTTTATCTTTTTCACTTAATTTGTACCTTCATAAGTGACAGCTAACTTATCCCAAATTTTTTTTGTATTTTCACACAAAGAAACTCTATTGTACTCATTAGGCCCCAATGCATAAAATAGTGTATGCATTGCTTTGGCTTTGAGTTGAGCCATCTTCATATCATTAACATCCCATTCACTCTTTTGCTTGATCATATCTCTACCATCCACCTTCTTCATTGGAATTTGAGGACCATTTATAATAACCTTTCAAACTTCATAATCATTGACTTGAATAAATAACCTCATCCTAGTCTTCTAATAGGAGTAGTTGTCACCAACAAAGAAAGAAAGTCTTACAATTGGATGACCTTCACTTTTAAGAGATATTGTAACTGTTTTCATTTGCCATGAGACACATGTTTTGTTGCCTATTGTATTTATTATAGCTTAAAGATGGTTGTTCCACATTAATCACCATATTTTTTAAGCTATTTTCAAGATCATTATTAGGTTGTTAGACTTACAAAAAGAGTATTAGCTTTGATACCAATTATTAGTTCAAAGACTTGAAATAAATCAAGAGAGGGGTGAATTAGTTGATAATAAAATTTTTAAAAATCAATACTTAATAAGCATAAATTTTGTAAAATAATTTTATCTAAGAAAATGAACATAATAAATGAGAGTAAACAAGAGATTTAGATAGAGAATTAGACACCAAGATTTATAGATGTTTGGTCTTTTCTTTAGGCACTTACGTTCTTTCTCTTAACCTCATTTGCCAAGGAGTTTAATCCACTATGTGTTATAAAATACAACCTAGCTTTTCAAAGCTTTACATAATCAACACCACAAACTCGCAAGGGTTATCCTCCCCCTTAAGCTTATAATCTCACAATACAAAGTTTCAGAAGTGTTTTACAAACTTAAAGAACCTTTCTAAGGTTAGGTGTTTGCCAACTTGAAGCACATAACACTATTGACAAGAGAATTTGGAAAAAAACTGATACAAGAAGAATTTTCTATACTTTTCTCTCTTTAAACTAGTTTGAATGCTTGAATAAAATGGTTGGTGAAGGCAATAAGTTCTCTTAGCTATACTTGCTATTAATCTACAGTGAAAGCCTTAATTTATAGGTAGAAAGGAGTTGATAGCCGTTGCCTTGCATTTAATGCTTCAAACTTATAAAATTTTAGATAAAAAATAGCCATTGGGGCTTTCTGGGCATCAAGGGATCGATCTCCTCATGTAGGGGATCGATTGGGTTAGTTATGTGAAAGCTCATTTTAATGCCTTAAAAACTTTACCTGATCGATTAGGTAATGCACTTGATCAATCCATTCATTCGGTGATTGATTCTTTATGTGGGGTGATCGATCTCTTTTGTTGATTTTTAAACTTATTTTGTTTTCTATGTAAAAAATAGATCAATTCCTTTAATGGATGGATCGATCCCGTGCTTAGGTGATCAATCTCCTATGTAGGGGGATTGATTCCTTTTATCCATTTTCGAACCTAGATTACATTCTATATAAAAAAGAGATCGATCCTTTTAATGGAGAGGGATCGATCAGGTAAGTATACAACCCTAACCAATCGATCCCTACAGGGAGGGGATCTATTTGGTTCTTGCCAAAATTTCACAAGATTAGCTTTTGGAAGAAAAATGGATCGATCCCTTTATTTAAGGGATCAATCAGGTAAGGGAGGGAATCGATCCCTTCTATCCAAAACATGCCTTGACCCATTTTGTTTCGAGAATTTGCTTTGTTTTAGTTCTTAAATGAATTTTAGCAAGATAGAAGGCTGAAAAAATGTTTAATTTAAGATTAGGAAAGTTTGATTCAAGTTAGGCAAATTTTTGTTTTGTCAAATCAAAACTTTTAATCTATTCAAGACCAACAAGTTAATGTAAATATTCAAATACTTTTACTAATATAAATACGTATATTACTTCTTTTTTCCTATTCATTTTTAAGTGTCTAAATTAATTTATAACTTTATTACACTCCTATATGCACGAGCTTCTATATAACAATGGATAATATTAGATTGTATTTATTATTTAAGTCATGTAATTTGGGGATACAAATAGCAATTTAGAGATAGACAAAAATGATAATTGTTTTTATATCTCTTAAGGGTCATAATGGTGTATTTAGTTGAGAAATTTTTAAATTTTGAAGAATTTTGAAATGTTAACATTTTAAAATGTATCAATTTGAAATAACATAATTTGTAATTGCATTATTTGGAGAATTAATTTTTAGAAAGAAATTTTAAATATTAGAATTTGATAAGATAAAAAATAACTATAATAAAAAATAAAGATATTAAAATAAAAAACAAAATACTAAAAAATATATGCATATGAATAACATTAGATTGGTAAAAATGTGTAAATATTACTAATAATATAAAAAATTAAAAAAACTTATAATGAGTTTTTTAGTTGAAATTGAAGGAAACAAAAGTTGTGAAAATAAAATAGTAAATGTTGACTTCTTTTTATAAAACCGAAGGATTTCATAAATTCACCTTCCTAGGTGAAATTTGAAAAAGATAATTTAAATATTCCAAAAATTTTCATTTAAATTTAAAATTTTTGATAATTATTTTGTGAAATAAAATACTTTCATTTTAGAATTTTAAAGTTCTTTTTACAAATGAGATTTTTTTTTTCTTAAAATTTTTTATTCAAGCGCATCCTAAAAGTATTCTTAAATTTTCTTTTATCAATTTTACCATTTATCCTTTTCTTTTCATAAATTACAACTGCTAGCACATAATTAATAGTTCTTTTAAAGAGCATCAAGTTGTAATTCCCCGGATTTTATTTATTTCTGCCTTAACGTTGGTTGTGCATAACTAGTTATACTATTTATTTGAAATTTCACACGGTAAAAATTAATCGGTAATCATCACTGATGTAAAATAATAATAAGAAAAGAGAGGCAGAAAGCATATAAGGAGTCATATTGGTGCTAGTAATTAGAAAAAACAAATTGAAGATGGAGGGCTTGAAGGTGTGGAGGCTTTCCTCATCAATTTCTAGGCCTTCAAGTTTTAGACAACTATTTGGATTGGGCTCTTCCTCTTGTCTAATCCTGCGCTGCTCAGATGGCGGCGCTGCCACCACCTCCAACACCAGACTGCCCTCTCGCAACCTACGGTCTTCGACATCCACTTCCACTTCAGACCGTGAAGCCGTCCGTGCCATCCGCCTGAAAAAGGTGGAACAATTGCGGAGCAAAGGGTTGGAGCCGTATGCTTATAAGTGGGATAGAAGTCATAGCGCTAGGGAGCTGCAGGAAATATATGAGAATCTAAACAATGGGGAAGAGTTGGATAGTGAGAGTCATCATGTCTCCATTGCCGGCAGAATTGTGGCTCGCAGAGCCTTTGGAAAACTTGCTTTTCTCACTTTAAGAGATCAAACGGGCACTATTCAGGTTCTTTTTTGGTTTCTAATTCATAATCTGTTTTAATCTCCCATAATAATGTCATTAACATTTCGATTATATTTCTAAAATGGTTGTACTGTAGCTATACTGTGAGAAGGAAAGGCTTTTGAATGATCAGTTTGAGCATTTAAAGACACTAGTTGATATTGGTGATATATTGGGTGCTTCTGGCTCTATCAAGCGGACTGAGAAAGGTAAACTTCTTTATTGCACAAAATTCACTCTGCTTCTGGCTCCCCTTAAACTTAATTTCATTACATTGTTTATTTGCTTTACTGTTCAGGGGAGCTATCCGTTAAGGTGGATTCCTTTGCAGTTCTTACAAAATCTCTACTTCCGCTGCCTGACAAGTTTCATGGTTTAACTGACATTGATAAGCGTTACCGTCAAAGGTGATTTGTTATTTCCAACTTCTATTTTTTCTTTTTGATATTCCTTGTGAATCATCTTAAATTGCACTCTGTCAAACCACATATTTCCAATCAATCCCATTGTCCAGGTAGTAATTTATAATCTTTCTGATCTCCTCAAATTATTTTTGCTGGATATGTGAGCTTTTTTCTTCATTTTCCCCTTCAAAAAAAGATAAGAGACATTCTTAATTCGTGCTTGTCTTTATTTAACATATTCTCATTTGACAATTTTTTATCATGGCATTAGTAACATACTTCATCTTTTACTCATTAAGATATCGGATCAAAGAAGTTTTTTAGTGCATAATTACTACTTGTCCGATAACATATTGCAAATTGTTTGATGCCCTTTATGTGTTTTATTCTTGGTGTTTCTTTTGATATTGCTAGTGTTTCACCCCTTTGACCATATCCCCCTCCTCCCATTTTTAGGTATGTTGATATGATTGCAAATCCTGAAGTAGCTGATATATTTCGGAAACGAGCAAAGGTGATTTATTTCCACTATCTGGAATGATATTGAAATGACCTTTTATTTTGCTGACTATTAGATTGTTCTTATAACTCTTTAAGGGTGTGGTTTAGGGGAAGTAAGATTACCTTTGGTAATTTGATTCCTCTCACAAGATCACCTAGCACATTTTCGGTAATCTCACATTTTCGCGTTTGGTTTGTCTGGTCAGAATGTAAGATTCATGTGTTTGGTTGACGCGAATGTAAGATTACCTAATGATATTTTTAACTAAACCACCCTTTAAAACGAAAAAAGGATGTTATGTTCAAAGGATTAATCCTTTGTGAAGGGGATTGATCCCTATTTAAAATGGATTGATCTTTTTTTTTTCAACAAAGTGATGCCTGAGGGCTTTTATGCTCTAAGGGATCGGTTTGCATTAAGCGCTATAAATTCTACCTCTATTTCTAAGTTTCCCAGCATAAGATATTCTACTTCTATTTTAAGGCCTCGTTTAGCATTGAGGTTTAAAAGTGCTGTTGGTTAAAAAGCTCATTTTCACCGCAACCTCAATGCTAAATAGGGTGAAAATTTTTAGCTTTGCGGTAAAAAAGTTTGGTTTTGCAAACCAAATGCTAAATCTCTTTAGCGGTGTGTTTGCAGTTGAAAAGCATTGTTGGAAGGTAAAATTATATTTTATCCTTATAACTTTAAACTTTTATTATTTTATACATATTTTTTGGACATTTCAATACACCAATAACACTTTTTCACAGCAATGGTAAACACTTAAAATTTTTAAACCACATATTTCTAACAACACTTTTAAATACACTTTTTTTCAACCGAGCTTTTCCAAACTGCAATAACAATACTAAACTAGACCTAAGTTTCTTTGTATAAGGTATTCTATCTATATTTTAAAGTTTTCTAGCAACTAATGCCACAGCCACAAACAACAAAATTGAAGCATACTCTCCATTTGCCTCATTTGCAAAATAATCACTATAATCATTTGCATCTTTTTTATTGGTAAATGAGCTATAACTGTTTAAAACAAATATTTTAGTATGGTAACATATTGCTATATAATGAAAGCAATCAAAACAGAATCATTAAATGCTACAAAAATGCTAGATAATGAAAGCAATAAAAAACAAGTAATTAGGAATGAAAGGGATAAACAATACAAGTCAAAACTCAAAAGCTAGGAAGCATGGACATGGCAGCAACCCCTTCGTACCGGTGTCGTATCAGCATCCACGACGGAATACACATGGGACATGTTAGGACATGGCCAAAAAAAAAAAAATCATGTTGGGCACGGTCTTGACATGTCCCAACATGGATAGGCACCAAAAAATGATAAAAATGATGGAGGCTGAATATATTTTTGTAGATCTATGCTTTTCTAGTTGGTTTTTGGATAATCTAATTGAATAGGAACAAGGAGAAGGTTGAGAGGAGTTTTCTAATTTTTTTTGGAGGAATTCCAACACTGGTGGACGATGGCCAACAATTGGAAATTGAGTAAGGGGTGGGAGAAAGAAAAGGAGAAGAAAAAGGAAGGAAGAAGAAGGAGGAAAAAAGGGAGAAAAAAGGAAAGAAAGAAAAAGAAGTGGCGCCTCATGTCTTGATTTTGGGAATTTGTCTTAATTTTGGCAAGGGCATGTTTTTATCAGATTTTCTGATCTAATAAAACTGCTAATAGGACAAACATATTAAGTTATTAAGCCAAACATGACTCTTAGCATTTTTAAAATAATTATATATCTTTGTTTTTGAAGGGGGAATAATTATATATCTTATATATTTAAAAGTGAATTCTTTTATCATATAATTAAATATATTTTATATGTGAAAAAGTATTTTTGTGTAATGACAAAAGATCTTTGTGAAGAATTTGATTATATATTAATGAAAGTATTAATATTTACATTTGCATTGAATATTTTTACATAAAAAATATAAAAAATATTTTTTATTGTTGTTTCCTCGCCTTACCCATCTCCTCATCTTTAGAAATTCCCGCATCATCGTGTCCGTGTTGTGTTGTATCCATATTACATGTCTATGTTCATGCTTCATAGCTCAAAGGCCTCAAAATGTATTTAACAAATGGTTTAGGATCCATTACCAACACCATGCAACAAGAAATCCAAAAAGAAGTTAAAAAATGTATTATTGGCCTACACTAGACCCATTTGCCTATCACACTAAAACTTAGTTTTGATCAAAATTCAAAACAAATCCCTTGGATTGAGAAAATCATCTCATAACTTAAGCAATTGCTGAACATATAACAAAAACCATAGATTTGCAACATAGTAAAAGGAAAAAGAAGAAAGAAACAATTCATGAATTTCTACCCATTATTCCTGTATTCATCTCAAGCAATGTTAGCCAAGGCATAAACTTTAAGACATCACAGCTTATGAGATATGGAAAAAAGAGACTCTATAAGACATAAAAACCTAGGAAAAAAGTTTCTCTAAATCGAACAAAAAGTTCAATATTTAACTCTTACTTAGATCTATCTAATTTTCACTTGGAGTGGTTTGAGGTGTGGAAGGCATGTGTTAGGCATTTGGAAGCTTGTGGAAAATTGTGGAATCAAAAGGGACTACATAGTCACAAATTTCAGCTCACGCCATGTTGGACATTTTTGTATGTTTGTTTGTTGTTTTTTTTCCTTGCTTTCTTGCTTATTTGGCAAGCCTATGTGGCATTTTTGAACTCTAATTTTAGCCACTTTGTTGCCCCTTGTAAGTTTTGTAATCACCTTCTATCTTTTTGTTTTTTTTAAATTTTACCTACATCTAAGACTAAGCAAAATTAGGTGAAAAATTAAATTTAATCACTAGTACTTAAGCAAAATTAGTCAATTAAGTACTATAGCTCTATAAAAATAGAGTTATCACACCTTTAAACTTAAACTGTTGCTTGTACTTGAGCAAAATAAAACATGCTAGAGTCAAAATGTACTTTCAATGTTAACTTTATCTTAGTTTCCTCAAAAATTGCCTAATGATCATAAACTAAAGAAAATCACAAACATTGACTAAGCAATGAGAATCATTCATGAGTAAGCATCCTTCTAATTGGATTCTCGTGTATTTGTGTAATGTATTTTCTCATTTCATTGCATGAAATCCGATTAAATTTATGAAACATGAAATTAACCTAGAATCTCAAAAGAGTGAACAAATTTCATAAGTTTGTTTTTCACATCTCTTTGTCTTCCAATTTTTTTCCTTGTTTTATTGTGTCAAGCTTATTTTAGGGGCTTTTAGCGAGCATTTTTCTTTTCTTTTCTACTCTAGAGTTAAGGCAGCAGCTCATTGTTTCAGTTTTGGCACTTTAATTTCTGTTTCAGATGTGATTTTTGTGAAGATGAGGATGGTAAGGAGAAGCCTCAAGGTTGAGACATCACCTTAGGTGGCTTCTTCTCACTTGAATCTTTGATTTTACATTTTTAATGCAATTAATTTCAAGTTGTGTTTGCTCTTTAAAATTCCTGCATTTTAACTTTCTTGCTTTTTAAATGTATTTTCTATTTTTTGGTGTAATTTCATGAAAGATAAGGATGGTTGAAGGAAGTTTTAAGGTTGAGACGTCATGTTAAATGGCTTCCTCCACTTGAATCTTGGATTTTGTATTTTCAGTGCATTTAATTTCATGTTGATGTTGCTTTGTAAATTTTTTGCACTGTAAGTTTCAAGTTGTTTAATTTTCATGCTCTTTGCCTTTCATGCTATTTAAGTTTATGCACTTTTAATTTCACGCTATTTAAATTGTGTCATTTAATTTCATTGGTTATTAATTTTCTTGTGTTCTTTAAATTGCCATGCCATTTACATATATGTTCTTAAGATTCCTTGTTCCTTTGTTTTCAAGTAATGCTCTTAAATGTCATTTTTAAGTCCATGATATTAGTGTAGTTTCTAATTTTAAATCATGCTTTAGTTTTCTGTAATCATCCTCTTAAATTTACTTTATTTGCATTTTAATTCTAGGTTAGTTTTGGATTTAATTTTCTTGCTTGCATTAGGTTCTGTTTGATAAACTGAAAAATGTTGTGCTGAAAAATTAAGTATTGAATTTTTAATACTAAATTCGATAAGTACTGAATTTGAATTATGAAAATTGTTGGGTATTTTACTTAAAATTAAATGCTGAATATAAATATATTGTTTTATAACTATAAAATATTAAAATTTGAAAATTTATCATTTTACATTTTTATTTTTATTTTCATTGCTGTCAATGAAGTAATTTTTTAGGGAAGTAATTTTTTTAGGGATAATAATTTAAAAAAATTTAAAAGAAAAATTTACTGAACTTTTTCTGCATAAAGTGATAAGTAGGTTTTTATCTACTTATCTTATTAACACTTTTTGGTTGAAAATTTTCTATTAAGCAGATTTTAAAATTCATTATCAAGTGCATTGAATAAAATTAAATTGTTGAAAAATTTCATTTTCAATGCATTGAAAATTTGCAATATGTTATCAAATGGGGCCTTAATTAAAATTTTGACAGATTTGGATTTATTAGGGTGCTAAATTTTAGTAGTTAGCAAAGATCACCATTGAAATCCGTATGGGACTAAAACTCTTACTCTATCACTATATTACTTGTCAACCCATACACTTGCATTGTTTGTGTAACAAGTTGGCTGCTACTGTCATTGTTGGTGAGGGGAGAAAAAGAAATAAGAAAAGAAAATAAGAATTTGGAATTTTGGCTTGTTATTTTTGGACATAGGAAGGGTAAATTGGACCAACAATTACATTTCTTGAGGGCAAAATAGGAAAAAAATTACATTTCAGCCAAAATGTAACAAAACATTAGGAAGAGATAGGTTTTTGATTCACTCCAACTTTCTCGTAATTTGGCATTTTTGGTAATCTCACATTTCCAACGCTTAGGAATGTTGTTGAACCAAACTAGTTAATTTGATTATGGAAAGTAACATTCTGATTAGTAATCCTATTTTCTCCGAACCAAATTCCCCTTAATAATTTGGTTATTTTGTCACTAGAGTGACTTGCTTTTTTACACTCTAAACATCCTTTGGTTGCTCATTGAACCAAGAGAAAAGCTACTTGTTCTTTGGGGATATAGTGTAATTCATCTCTCTAAAACTACATCATTAATTGGTTCACATTTTTTATGTCCATTATGATATTGGTTTATAACCTTTGACAAAAGGAATTATTATGTTGCAAATTTTTCCTTTTCTTGCAAATATCTACCTTTCTTGCTTTCCATAAACCAGGCAAAACTTTGTTTTGGTCATGTAGCAAATCATAGAGCCATTGGTTATCTTTAGAGGATTTATGCATTCTTATTGCAAGGGTTTCAATAATAATATTGATAGGTATGTTGTAGACTTGGCAATTCGTGTATCTATATCATATTTGTGTCATGTCAAACAGATGTAAAACACGAAAAATTGTTGTGTCAAAGTTGTGTTGACACGGCTAACACAAAACATATTTTTTGGTTTTTGCCAAACCATATATGATTTTTGTTAAAATTTTAAGTTGCGTCTCTTTTGTGTTTTCTTTCATATCATTTTTGTGTTATGTTTAAAGTTATTAGGTCTAGTATATTAGATATGTTAAAATGTGGATATGTTGATGGGATATTTATATTGATTTTGAAAATTTATGGATATCAATAGAGATGGCAAAATGATCCCAAAAACTCACTCAAACCTGATTTCTCAAAAAAGTAAAAGTCCAAATCTGAGAAAACCCAAATTTGAAATGGCCGTAACTTGAATAATCCTAACCCAAAAAAGACGACACAAACTTGAACTGAACTTGAATAATCATGCTAAATTGGTTACATCTTTCATAAAATTTTAAAAATGACTTGACTAGTTCAAATTCAAACTTGAGCCAAATCTGAAAGGGCCCGGACCAAAAAAGATCAGGAATTCATGATGCTTGGAATCTGAAACGACCTGAAGCTGAAATGATTCAAATCTGACATGTGGCACACTTGAAATGCTTGAACCTTGCCAAAAACACCTGTTTGTCACCTCTAGATATTAATGAGAGTTAAAACTTTGAAGCGAAATTAGAATACATTAATTGATAGATTTTGCATAGGATTTCTTAATTCAGTAAGTGCAGTATATTAAAATATCTAAAAACTAAGGATAAAATGTTATTTTGTGTTGATTACTTAAATAATGTTATTATATAATCAAAAGTACAAATATTTTCTATTTAATGCTGATGAGTTTAAAATACTATCAATCTATGACACATTTTATTAGTAAATTAAAAGATAGATAGCATCATCATTATGTTATCAATAAAGTTGAATTTGTGTGATGGCGAGGATGTAAAGCTTTGGATTGTGGCTTAGAAGTTTGGCTCTTTTTAATGGAATTTTACAGAAAAAATATTGGTTATGTCACACATCAGGATTCTAGCGTTGAGATCACCACTTTAAGAGCAAAATATCTAAAAAGGTTTCATAGATTGTAATATTCTGTTAATAGCCTGATTTATTAAGCAATAAATGTGGGTAGCAAATTAAAAAAAAAGGGATTTATACTGAGACCCCTTGCTTCTTGAATATCCACCAACATTACTTGAATCTTTCCAACAAATGAACTGTGGGTAAGTTATCATTTGGATTTATTTCAAGCCTGCTCTAACAAAATTTTTTTCTCATTTTTCTACTCTAGCATTGCTTTCTGATATTGTTGATTGCCTAAAGTATTGTCTGTATTTTTTAGCATGCTTGTTTCTTTAGTGAACTATAAATTATCACTGGGAGAAAAGCTTAACTAGCTGAAGTTCTACATTTGTAAAGTTTTTTCATCATTGGTTATTGATTTGATAAAATATATGAACCATCTGGTTGTCTGTTTTGAACAGTCTGAACTTGTTTAAAATGGCTATAAACTTACAGATTGCTTTAATATCTACGTATATTCATGTGTATGTCTTGTTTTTCTGGTGCCTATATGATTTGAGCTTTAATGCCTAAAATTGTATTGTTATTAACCTTTTTTCAAGTAGATTGTGAGGGAGATACGAAAGACGGTGGAATCTCAAGGTTTTGTCGAAGTTGAAACTCCAGTTCTGCAGGTTAGTGAATAAATTCAAAGTTTTTCTGGGTGTTGGCTTTTCAGATAGTGATACATGTTTTATTGATGCTTTCTTTTTCCTTTAACTGCATGGAGCATAAAAAAATATAAGGCTATCCTGATGTTGCCTTTTCATCTAACTTCTTTGAAACCTTTTCTTGTTCATTAAGCAAAAAGATTGTTCATTCTTCTAGGAGCCGATGGGAATTCAAATAGCTTTTCTATCTATTGGGATGTTAATGGAGTGGTCTTTAATGTCAAAAACCCTACTTAGGAAATGGGTATATTTTACTTTGTTTCACATTGGCTCTTAGGGACCTTGATACGTTTAGAGCAATAAAGTCTAATTTGCGGATGTCTCCAAAAAACAAATATGTATGGTTTGTTTGCTTTTTGAAAACAAAATCATTTGCCTTTTCATTTTCATAAAAAACAGAAAATGACGGTCAAAAGTTGTTTGGTTGTTAATATATAAAATGTTCTCTAGAAATGAGAAGAAAGTAGGCTGAATTTTGAAAAGAAGAATAAATTTGTTTTCAGTTCTTCAAGTAAAACATGGAGAAAACACTAAAAACGGTAAATAAACACAAGCGTCTTCAATCTATGGTCTAAAAAAATTGCCAAGTATTCACACAGAACACAAATCAAGAAGCACATGGTTAGTAAAATCAATTCCTTTTTTTGATACACTTATTCTTATTTGATTGATTAATTGATTGAAAGATTAAGCTTGGAATAAACTAGAGAAGGCACAATGATCAAGAAAATGTGCATTGCATATATATATATATATATTTGTTTTTCTGCATTTCTTTTATGCCCTTACAGCCCCTTTTTTTTATATACATTACCTCTATTTCTAGAACTTAAAGTTTAAATAAGGTAACAATTTTTTTGTTTGACAAAGATGATTCACTATCAACGCTATTGTTTATGAATAGTGATCGTTATTGTGAATAGAAAGTGATCGATTATTTTTCAGTTTGAGGTGAATTGAGAAAAAATTCATTTAAGCCAAACAAATGAAATAAAAAACTTTTACCCTTATGAACTGTAGAAATCTGATTCTCCTAAATTAGTGCACATCCGATTCTCCTACTTTAGTGCAGCTTGATTTCTTAATTTATTTTGGGAATATTTCTCATATACTCTTTCGATTTAGTCAACTATTCTGATTGTCAAGTTTTTAGTGATTTGTTTCTATTCTATAATAGAGTAATTTTCCTTCCTTTTATTATTTTTTGTTTTCTGTTTCATGTAAGTTTCCTAATAAGGAACTTCACTAGTCCTATTTATTTAGATGTATTCCTTCAGTGTAGATTGAATAAGAAGAAATAAGGACAATTGTTCTTTAAGTTTTCTACATGGTATCAGAGCAAGTCGGCTTGAACCATTAAATTGTAACCACACAAGTTTCCGTTATGGCCAACATGAATGAGAACTCTTCTTCTGCAGGGCTAGGCATAAGGAAAGTCACAAAGAGGTGATACTCTAACAAACCCTTCAAAACAAGTCTGCAACCTTTGGAACTAGTTTACTAGCATAAAAAGATAATTTCCTAAACGCCTTAAGTGTTCAACGGGGAAATACACAATCTTGGATTGTTGATTCAGGAGCATTAGATCACATAACTGGAGATGCATCCTTATTCAACACATATAAACTTTGTTATGATAGTTCTCTTGTAAAAATTTTTGATGGCTCTCTCTTAAAGGTGGTAGGAACAGGTTCTATTGTAGTTTCAAATGACATAACACTCGATTTTGTCCTCCATGTCCCTAATTTAAGCTGTAACTTACTTTCCATCAGTAAGCTTACGAAGGACAGATGTTGTGTCACTAAATTTTTTCCCAACCTATGTGAATTTCAGGAATTGGGCTTGGGGAGGATTATTGGCAGTGTTGGGATGTATGCAGGGTTCTACTTTTTTCAAGATGAGGCATTTGAGAGACCACAAAACTCTTGTACAGCCTTAGCCTTTAGTACTAGTAAGGATGACCTTATCATGTTATGGTATTATAGATTAGGATATCCAAATATTTCATACCTAAAAAGGTTATTTCCCTTATTATTCAATAACATCTCAAAAGATTTTCAATATGAAATTTGTCAACTTTTCAAGCCACGCGAAATACCTACCTTAGCCTTTCCTATAAATAATCTCAGCCTTTCGCAATGGTTCACAGTAACATTTGGGGACCGTCACGAGTTAACAATATCACAGGTTCTAGGTGGTTTGTTACATTCATCAATTATCATACTCGACTCACTTGGGTATTCCTTATGAAAGAAAAATCTGAGGTTAGCCAAATCTTTCAAAACTTCAATAGCATTGTACAAACCCAATTCCAAGCCAAAATCCAAGTCCTAAAAACTGACAATGGAAGAGAATACTTCAACTCTGTTCTCGGGCCTTACCTCACCAATGATGGCATTATCCATCAAAGCTCTTGCATTGACGTTCCACAACAAAATGGGGTTGTCGAATGCTAAAACAGATATTTGATAGAAGTGACCAGATCTCTCTTGATTTCCATTGTGCCTAAATATTTTTAGGGAGAAGCTGTCCTCACTGCAACCTATTTGGTTAATTGAATGCCTTCTTGAGTTCTTGGCTTTAAAACACCTTGTCAAACTCTCCTTGCTTCCTACCCACAAACTCGGTTTATCTCTTCCATTCCCATCAAACTCTTTGGCTGCATTGCCTTTGTTCATATTAGCCAACAAAACCATAGCAAGCTTGATTCGAAAGCCTTAAAATGCACATTCCTTTGTTATTCCCCAAACCAAAAAAGCTATAGGTGTTACTCACCCATCACAAAAAAATTCTATAGCTGTTTGAATGTCACCTTCTTTGAGAATCTCCCATACTACAGCAAGAATGATATTTAGGGGGAGAATACTACTTAGGAATATCAATTCTTAGTTGTTGATTTGCCAATTTCCCAACCAACCCCTTCAAAATCATATTCCTAACCAGCTCCTTCAAAACTAGAATCTCAACTAGCCCTTTCAAGACTAGATTCTCAACCTACCCAACCTATCAACCATGCATATTCCGAAACCCAACCTGTTCAGGCAACTGTTGACTCTACAAGCCCTAAGGTTATGCAAGAAAAAACAAAAGAACTGATAGTCTACTCAAGGAAGCAAAAACCATAGGAAGAAATGGATAACTGTACATAGCCTAGCACTAAAAATCAACTTGATATGAGTTTCCAAGAATCTGAAACCAACATATGTAATGTCCCTATTGAATCTGAAATTGAAACTTGTGAGTCAGTTGGTAACTTTGACATTCCTATTGCATTAAGAAAAGGTGTGAGATCAAGCAGCCAGTACCCTATCTATAAGTACATCTCATATGACAGCTTAAATCCAAACTTACGAGCCTTTACTACTAACTTTGACAATGTGCAAATTCCAAAAAATATTCGGGAAGCCCTTAATGAACCAGATTGGAAGGCAGTAGTTCTTGAAGAAATCAAGGCACTAGAGAAAAATGGGACATGGGAAATTTCAGATTTGCCCAAAGGGAAAAACCTAGTTGGATGTAAGTGGATCTTTACAATAAAGCACAATGTAGATGGAAGTATAAATTGGTTCAAAGCTAGACTTGTTGCAAAAGGGTTCACTCAATCCTATGGGATAGACTATGAGGAGGAGACATTTGCTCTGGTAGCCAAACTCAATTCAATTAGAGTTCTATTGTCACTAGCAGCTAACTTGGATTGGCCTTTTCACCAACTTGATATCAAGAATGCATTCTTAAATGGTGACTTGGAGGAGGATGTCTATATGGAAATTCCTCTTAGTTTCAAAAAGCAAACCAACATGGGCAAAGTGTGCAAATTTCGAAAATCTTTGTATAGACTTAAACAGTCTCCTCGGGCTTAGTTTGAACGGTTGACCGAGGCAACGAAGAGGTATGGATTCCTTCAATGTCAATCTAACCATACTATGTTTGTTAAGTTCACTAATGAAGGAAAAAGAGTTATTGTTTATGTGGATGATATCATAATCACCGGTGACCACAAGGATGGAGTAGATGATTTGAAGAAACTCCTTGCAAAGGAGTTTCAAACAAAGGACTTGGGGTTCCTTAAATATTTCCTTGGGATGGAAATGACTTGTTTTAAGAATGGAATAACAGTGTCTCAGCGTAAGTATGTGCTTGATTTACTCAAAGAAACTAGCATGATTGGATGCAAACCTACCAATACACCCATGGACTCAACTTGTAAATTTGGAAGTGAAAATGGAAGCTCTCTCATTGACAAGAGGCTACACCAAAGACTAGTTGGGAGGCTTATTAACTTCTCCCACGCACACAACCTGATATCGGGTTTGCAGTAGGGATGGTGAGTAGATACATGAATAATCCAACCAAGGAGCATTTTAAGGCTATTTATCGCATCCTACAGTACTTAAAAACGATTCCTGGTGAAGTCTATATTTTAAAAAGTCAATGGGCAGGCCAGTTGAGGTGCACACAGATGCTGACTGGGCTCGATCAGTAATAGATAGAAGGTCCTCCACTACTCGATATTGCACTTATCTTTGGGAAAATTTGGTCACTTGAAGAAGTAAAAAGCAAGCTACTGTAGCTAAAAGCAATGCTGAGGCTGAGTTTAGAGCAATGTCCCAGAGTATTTGTGAAGGAATTTGGTTGATAAGGTTACTTGGAGAAATAAAAGTTCAAACTGTTGCATCTATGACACTGCTTTGTGACAATAAGGCTATTATAAGTATTGCCAAAATCCTATTTATCATGATAGGGCCAAGCACATAGAGTTGGACCGACATTTCATGAAGGAAAAGATAGAAAATGGGTCAGTCAAACTGGCCTATATCCCTACAAGTTCACGAATTGCAGATATTTTAACTAAAGCTCTTCCTAGAAGCATTTTTGACGATTTGAAATCCCAGCTGAGTATGATTAACATTCATAACCCAGCTTGAGAGGGAGTGTAGAAATCTGATTCTCCTCCATTGGTGCAGATCCGATTCTTCTACACTAGTGTAGCTTGATATCCTAATTTATTTTGGGAATATTTCTCATTTACTCTTATAATTTAGTCAACTATTCTGATTGTCAAGTTTTTAGGGATTTATTTCTATTTTAGAATAGAATAATTTTCCATCCTTTTATTATTTTTTGTTTTCTGTTTCATGTAAGTTGTTTTCTAATAAGGAACTTCACTATTCCTATATATTTAGATGTACTCCTTCATTGTAGATTGGATAAGAAATAAGGACAATTGTTCTTTAAGTTTTCTACATGAACTACTTTTTCTTTACTTTTTGTTTAATAGTATTATGCACCTTTATAATGATTTTTTTTTTTACCAAGAAAGAATATATCTATTTTGTTAACAACAACATCCATGAATACAAACAAACATATCCACAACAGTAGTAGAGAAATACATAGCATACAGAAGTGTCTCAAAACTCTCATCCTAGCTAAATAGCCTTTATTCTGGAGGTGGTGGTAGACTGTCCTCGTCAAGAATCCATACCAAGGAGGATGGAAGTTGCATGCCCCAGCCAGTTTGGTACATCCCTTTCTTGGATTAGGAAACTACCCTGTCGGCTGCCATGTTGACGTTCCTATACACAAGCTCCACTTTCTTCTTAGGAATAAGATTCAGCAATTTATGAATATTTAGTATAATTGGCCTTATTTTCCAATTCTTCTTTTGTTACATACTATCTGACAATGAACCTCTTGTGAATCTGTTTACATTATAATTTTTTGAATTTTTTTTCTATTGCCAATTTAACGCCATCTTTTACTGCCAATGTTATCAGTTATTAGAGCACTTTCAGCATGTAAATGATTTTTCGAATCTGCCACCACCTCACCTTCGGCATTCCTGGCCAAAGCCCCAGTTCCAGCTGCACTAGTCCTAGGATCAAAAGCACCATCACATTTACTTTTTATCTACCTATTCTCAGGTAGAGCCCAATGTTCTGAGATTTTTTCCTGTTGTCCATCATCTTCCTTATCTTCATTTATCAAACATTCTCTAGCATGAATGAGTTCTTTAGCAGCTATCTTCATTCTAAATATGGCTTAGCATCCATCTACCTCCGTATATTTAATTATTTCACATCTAATCTTCTAAATAAACGAGCGGGTAGCCATAAGCGTCTGTTCTGTACCCTCCATACCTTCGAAAATCTCAGGAATCCAATTCTAAAAAGTGCTTATGGACTCCTTGTTAATCCGTAGGCCATGACATGCTACAAACCAAACTCCTCTTGTCAATTCACACAACAAAATCATATGCTCAACTGATTCCTCTTCTCTTAAACATAATGGGAAAATATGATCTCTCACTACCTTTTCTTAAAAAATTTGGATCAACAGGCACAACGTCACTGCATAATGTCCACAGAAAATTCTTAAACTTATCAGGAACTTTCAGAATCTGTATTGTCTTCCAAACTGCTTTATCTATATATGAGAGAAAGATAATGAACTATTGACAACCATTTGACCATATTTTAACACTTGATAACCAGACTTTACTTTAATGTAACAACTATTATTATGTGGCCATATCAGTAGATCCTTGCCTCCTTGCTGGCATATAGGATTCTTGCTGTCACTTTTAAATCATGCTTTAGTTTTCTGTAGTCATCCTCTTAAATTTACTTTATTTGCATTTTAATTCTAGGTTAGTTTTGGATTTAATTTTCATTAACTGACAAAATTTGAAAAGGTAAACAAGAGCAAGTGAAAACTGGTTTTAGAAACTGAAAATAAGAAATGGAAGCTCAAGGTTGTAGAAAATGAAAATAAAAAGTAAATATTTCCTAAAACCAAATATGCCCATAGTTTCTTGACCCTTCCTTTTACATTTTTTTAAAAAAATTTTTCACTTAAGCAATTTTTTACTTTTATTATTTACTGACTAACTGTATTATGGAACTGTAGTGCTGCATGTACAATAGGTGGACATTGAAAGGAATTTAACTGATTAATCTTGAAAGTTACACTGAAGTTCAAGGTTATGGAGGAGTTGAAATCTCCTTAGAGGCTTTAAAGATATTCTCTTACTATATAATTTAAGTGCGTGGAATCATTTTGCATCATTTTCATACTAGAAATATTTTGTAAAGGCACTTGAAAAAGCTGACACTGGAGTTGTTGCTAGTGTTTGAAAATTATATGCTACCATTTTTTTCAGTACATAAAAGTGTGTATCACAAATCTTATGTAATAGTACTTATTGAATTATTTATTTTATTGATTTATTTAGTTTTACTTGCCCTTTTTATTTAGTGGTGTAGAAGTAATATGTTTTAGGGGTATTTGACTTTTAATTAATTTGATCAACTAGGGAGCAGCTGGTGGGGCCGAAGCAAGACCATTTTTGACATATCATAACTCCCTTGGAAGGGATCTTTATCTAAGAATTGCAACTGAACTTCACTTGAAAAGAATGCTGGTGAGATCCTATGCATTTTAATTACCATTTTCCATGCAAAATTTTGTGGTTTTTGCCCTTGATTCATTAATAAAAAATAGTGGATTTATAACTTTAGGAATTTAAACCTCAAGGCAAGATTGAGGTGGAGTTCCTTAAGTTCGTGAGGTTCCTAACTAAAACAGTTAAATAAAAACTAAAAATGAAAATAAAACCTGCTATATAGATAGAACTGCATGAATAGATGAATGATTAGTTAAAAATGAATTAAAATAACTATAGAAAATTTAAACAATTGTTGATGAACACGAAGAACTTATCATAATCCTTTTCTAGTTAAACAAATATTTAAATAAAATATAGAACCTTTTATTTCTTTTTTCTTTGATAAAAATAAAAAAGAAAAGAAATCAAAACTCGTTTACTCATTCGGGTTATGTTTCTATTTAAGCATTTTTAATTGAAACTTCATAGACACCATTTAAGTTTTGACCTACACCATTTGTATATGAGAAACTATTTCATTATATTTTCTTGTGATTATGCTATTTAGTTTATGACTTGTAGCTTTGTATTTTATGTCGGATGTATTTGTTGATACTAAGTTGATGGGGTTGTAGCATTGAGTGTCAAGTGTGGATGTGTAGGACACGTGTTTCAATTTTTTTCTCACATTTTCCTTTTATTTAGAGGGTCAATACTTCATACTCATGTCTGCTTTAACATTTTTTGAAGAAATTGCTAGAATGAAATTATTTTATTTTTCTATATTTTTCTTATTACGATACTAGAATTGCATGAAAATATATAGGCTAAAGACTGAACATTCGCAGTCTTAAAACCCAAAATTTTCATGCATGAAAATAGCTAATCAAAGGAATAATTTACTCTCTACACATAATAGGAAAATATCTAATGAATTTGGTGTAATTACCTAAATCACTCTTTATTCTAAAATAAGAAACTTAACAAAAATAGACAAAGTCAACTAATCAAGTAATAATGAAAATTAGATTTCCATACTCCCCCTCAGGTTGGGTGGTAAATGTCAATCATGCCCAGCTTGGACTTCAGATTCTCAAAGTTGTTTCGAGAGAGAGCCTCAATGAGTATGTTTGCAGTTTTGGAGGCATGTGGGAATTTAAACTAATCTAACAATTCCTTCCTCCATCTTCTCTTTGATGAAATGACGATCAATCTCCACATGTTTAGTCCTATCATGATGAACATGATTCTTTGCTATACTTATGGCGGCTTTATTGTCGCAGAATATCCTCATGGATTCTTCTGCAAAGACCTTTAACTCCCTTAACAATTTTTTTAGCCAAATTTCCTCACATGTGCCTTGAGACATAGCTCTAAACTCGGCTTTTGAGCTATTTCTAGCCACCATAGATTGCTTCTTACTTCACCAAGTAACCAAATTTCCCCACACATAGGTTCAATAACCAATAGTTGATCTTTGGTCAATAACAGATCTAGCCCAATCAGCATCAGTGTAAATTTCAATATTTCGGCGTGATGTCTTCTTAAAAAATAACCCTTTGCCAGGACTCTTCTTTAGGTACTATAAGATTCGATACACAACCTTTAAGTGTGCCTCGATTGGGTTGTTCATGAATCTGCTTACCATGCTAATTGAAAAATTGATATCTAGTCTTGTATGAGAGAGGTAGATGACTTTCCCAACAAGTCTTTGATATCTGCCCTTATTTGTTGATGCATTTCCGTCTTCCATTCCTACCTTATTCATTGTGTCCATAGGGGTGTTAGCGGGCTTGTATCCAAACATTCCTGTTTCCTTTAATAAGTCTAGAACATACTTACGTTGTGAAACAGAGATGCCATTCCTTGAGTGAGCTACCTCTATGCCAAGAAAATATTTGAGATGTCCTAAATCTTTGATTTCAAATTCTTTGTCTAGGAGGTTCTTTAGGTTGCTAATTTCTTCCACAGTCTCTAGTAAGAATAATGTCATCCGCATAGACAATAAGAATGGCTATTTTTTTCCTTCAAGAAAATGTTTGACAAACATGGCATGATCAGTTTGGCATTGTGAAAAACCATACTTTTTTACCACTTTTGTTAGTCTATCAAACCATGCACATGGGGATTGTTTAAGACCATATAAAGACTTTTGAAGCTTACATACTTTGCCAGAATTGTCTTGGTTTTTGAATCCTGGAGGGATTTCCATGTAAACTTCTTCTAGGTCACCACTAAGAAATGCATTTTTGACATCTAGTTGGTGGAGTGGTCAATCTAGATTTGTCTCAATGATAATAACACTCGGATTGAGTTAAGTTTAGTAACTGGAGCAAATGTCTCCTCATAGTCAACACCATAAGATTGAGTAAATCCTTTTGCAACAAAACGATCTTTGAATCTATTAATACTTCCATCTACATTGTGCTTGACAGTAAAAATCCATTTACACCCAACTGGATTTTTCCCTTTGGGTAGTTCTGAAATCTTCCATGTTTTGTTCTTTTCTAGGGCCTTGATTTCTTCCAAAATAGTCATCTTCCATTTTGGTTGCATGAATGCTTCATGAATATTATTGGGAATGTGCATATTGTTTAGTGTGGTAACAAAAGCCCAATAACTGGGTGATAAACCTTCATAAGAAACCACATTACAGATTGGGTGTTGAGTACATGATCTCACACCTTTCCTTAGAGCAATCGGTTGATCAAGATCATCAAAAGATTCAATTAAATCAAATTCAATAAAAGTGTTACCTATGTTGGTTTTAAGTATCTCTGGAATCGGTTCAAATTCTTGGTTTTACTTTGAAAGTGTACATTCTCCTAGATCTTTCTAATAAGTTTTATGTCTTCTTGAATAGACAATCAATTCTTTGTTTGTTTTCCCTTGTGTGGACTTCGGGTTTGGAAGATCTAATTGGATGTTTTGGACTTGAAAGGAAGTTGGAGGATCTGGTTGGATGTCTTGGAAGTGAAAGGGAGTTTGAGAAGTGTTTGGTGGTTCGATAATAGGATATTCCCAAACCTGATATTCCTGTGTGATTGGATTCTCCCCCTGAATGCAATTTTGGGAAAGTAAGGTTGATTTTCAAAAAAGGTAACACTCATGGAATGGTAGACTTTCTTTGCTACTGGTGAGTAACACTTGTATCCTTTTTTATTTGGGGAGCATCCGAGAAATATGCATTTGATGGATTTCGGATCGAATGTGCTTTGGTTTTGTTGGTTGATAATAACAAGTGCAGTGCATCCAAACACTTTAATGGGAATAGACAAGATGATTCGAAGGTAAGGATAGGAACTGAGAAGGGATTGGCAAGTGCTTTGAAATTTTAGGACTCGAGAAGGCATTCTGTTTACAAGATATGTAGCAGTAAGAACAATCTCCCTTCAAAAAATGCTTAGGTACATGGGCAGCAATCATGAAGGATCTTGCAACTTTCAACAAATGTCGATTTTTTCTTTCAGCAATGCCATTCTGCGGAGGAGTGTCAATACATGAGCTTTGATGAATTATACCATCATTAGATAGGATCTAAGAATTGAATTGTCGGTTCTCAACACTTGGATTTTGGTTTTGAATTGAGTTTGGATCATATTGTTGAAGTTTTGGAATAGCTGGCCCACTTCTGATTTTTCCTTCATGAGGAATACCCAAGTAACCCTAATGTGATCATCAATAAATATGACAAACCATCTAGAGCCAATAATATTATTTACTCTGAAGGGACCTCAAATGTCACTGTGTATCATTGAAAAAGGATGGGATGATTTGTAAGGTTGATTAGCATATGTGGTATGAGTATGGTTGGATAGTTGGCAGACTTAACATTTAAAGTTGTTAGGATTTTGATTGAATAATGAGGGAAACAACCTTTTGAGGTACAAGAAATTTGGATGACCTAACTGATAGTGCCACAACATGATATTACTATCTTTATTATTATTGGAGGATGAAGCCACACAAGAGATCTTTTGATTTTGTCTTTCAGAATCATTAGCTCTTAGGATATAGAGTCTTGCACACATCTTAGCATTGCCAATTATCTTCCTCGAGTCCAAATTGTGAAATTCACACATCTTTGGCAGAAATTTATTAACACACTTAAGGTCTCTTGTAAGTTTGCTTATAGATAGTAGATTGCAACTTCGATTTGGGACCAAACAGAATAGAATCAACTGTTATCTTTTTGGAAATAATAACAGAACCTGTATCAGTTACTTTTGAAAATGACCTATCAGCAATTCGAACTATGAAGTTTTCATGACATGGGTTGTATTTACTAAATATAGATGCATCCCTAGTCATATGGTTTGAAGCTCTGTAATCCACAATCCATGAATTTGATTTCTCTAGTTTTACACTTAAGGCACATAGAAAATTACCTTTTTGTGCTAAAAAACTTGTTCGAATAGGAGTGGTAATGTCCTGCAATGATTGGGAAACACTAGCTCCGGTGTTAGAGGTAATCTCCGATGTCGGGCTCTCTTTTTTGCTGGCCATGCTGGACACCGAGTGCAAATTTTCATAGTTCAGATCGTGTTATGATACTATGAAGAAATCTCTAAAATAAAACTAATTTATTTTTCTATATTTTTCTTATTACAATACTAGAATTGCATGAAAATATATAATCTAAAGAATGAATATTCTCAGCCTTAAAACTCAAGATTTTCATGCATTAAAATAGCTAATCAAAGGAGTAATTTACTCTCTACACATAATAGGAAAATATCTAATGGATTGGTGTAATTACTCAAATCACTCCTTATTTTAAAAATATGAGCCTTAAATAAAATAGATAAAGTCAACTAATCAAGTAATAATGAAGATTAGATTTCCACATGTTCAATATGTATTTGACATGGATACTTGAGGAAAAAAGTGAAGAGTTGGAACAAAATAAGTGGATTCTCTAAATACCTGCTTTCTTTTTCCATAATAAGCTCAATACTTTATCAAACGAATCAGTGGTTAGTTTGGTGAGAGTTTCATGGTTCAGATTATTTTCTTCTCTCTGATTGTGTTTAATTATGTGTTTCAAGCTTTAAGATGTCCAAAGTTTACAGTTGCGTAGCCACCACAATAAACAACGACAATAACAGAGGAAATGCTTCATCTGGTTTTCCCAAAATGGCTTCCTGGAAGAAGTCTTTTTTGTGGGTGGCATGTTCCTTGAAATATAATATTTTCTGTTGTTTACATGACACTAGGGAAAATATTCTGTTGTCTAGATCACCTGTGAAAAATATTTTCAACTAAGGCAAAATTTTCAAAATTTTCTACCATGGAACATTTTCAGAAAAAATTTTACTTTTATTAACACTACAAAAATTTTCAACGCTCTATATTATAATATTGGTATTTTTTGGAATTTAAAATTGCTTGTGACTTGATCTTGTTTTGACAACATAGCGTAGTGTTCATTATAATATTCTTGGGGATAGGGGGGGTTTGTGATTTGATGATGTTTGGAAATGCCAAAGGGAGAGTACTTTTTGACCTAAATTTAGGGTGGTTTTTCTAATCCATACTTCTCTTTTCAATTTGTGTATCGTGGAAAGGAAATTGAATAATGTATATCTAACATACAACTTCTAGGTTTTGTTGGATATCATACCTGAATTTCTTTCATGGAGTGCACTCTTAACCATATTTTTTTGCCACTAATCTTAACCATTGTATGTCAAGTAGTCCTTTTGCTTGGAAAAATACCAAATCTTTTTGTGGTCGCTTTTTGTTTCTTTCCCTTTTGTTTAGCAAGGAGAGAATATTAAACGAACACAATATATCCAGTATGTTCTGCAGTCATATCAGCATAGAGGAAGGTAGGTTATTAAAAACATCGAATGGGCAGATTTTCTATCTTCATTGGCATCTTTTATGTTTCCCAAATTGGAATGACAATGAAAAACACAGCGACAGATAAGAGAACAATTTATCTCTTCCCCTTCTTTTGCACAGACAAGTAAGGGAAAACAATATCCATTCTCTTTGCATAAACTTTTCTATCCTCCTATGAAGCATGAGTGAAATAACCAATTTTGAGTGAGTTTATTTCCAAGCATGTTCTGGCGTCAACAAGGCAACTGTCAATTATGATGTGAGCAAGTAGGTGGGATCCATGTGCATGTAAATGTGATTGATTTCTTGGGAGAAGGAAAGTGTGCATGCAAAAGGGCCAGCCAACAATTTTCTTGGTTTTTTGTTCTTTGTTTTTTCCCCTTTCCTCTTATCTTTCCATCCTTAGCGTCTGATTCTGATATTTGCTTGTCTCTTAATTTTATACCCAACAACATTTATATCTTCTAATGACAGGTTGGAGGATTTGAAAAAGTATATGAGATTGGTCGGATATTCAGAAATGAAGGTATTTCAACTCGTCATAACCCAGAATTTACGACCATTGAGGTATTTATAAAAATATCAAATGCTGATTCCTTGCTTGGTTAGTGGAAATGTGCTTCATATGCTTTCACCTATTAAAATTGTTTTGTGAAGCCCTGATCTTCATCATTTTTGCTTGATTTAGATGTATGAAGCATATTCAGACTATCAAACTATGATGAACATTGCCGAGGAAATTGTTACGCGATGTGCTCTTGCAGTCCATGGAAAGCTCACCATTGATTACCAGGTAATGAATGCATTTCTTGGCTAATAACAATACTTAATTTTATTCCCAGAGGTTCTAGATTTCTAGTTTCTCAGTTATTTACATTTTGGTTTTATCTGTTTGGGACAAATATTGAAACATCTAATGTATGCCTTCCATGCAGGGGGTTGAGATACATTTGGAGCGGCCATGGAGGAGGGAAACCATGCACAATCTTGTTGAAGAGGTCACTGGGATTGATTTCACTGAATTGGGAAATGATCTTAAAGTTGCTAAAGATGTTATTTTGAAGGCACTTGGAGTTGGGCTCGATATTAAGGACAAGTTTTCCATTGAATCCTGCCCTTCACTTGGTCACCTCCTTAATGAGGTCAGTCTTCATTAATTTTCCATGAATGTTAGTTCCTATAGATTTAATTACAAAATAATGTAATAAAAGTTATTTGCACAATAGGAATGCAAGTATAGTTATGGATTGAGAACTGAATAAATTTCATACAAGGAAATGCAATTCCTGTTTGACCCTAAGCTTGAAAAACAATAGATAACAATAAAGTATTCTCAAAGTTCTTCACCCCTTTTCCATCTCTAAGTGAGCAATACATGGAAATTTATTGCTAAGAAATCCGTTAGTGAGGGCGGGGGGTGTAGAATTCACAAGACCATAAGCTGAGTGTAGACAGTTTCTCTATTTGGATTTATTTTACTTTCAGTTTTTTCTAGTACCAGGCCATTGATAGTTGCAATAAGCCTTTGGTATATTTACCTTCTCCAGGTTTTTGAAATTTTTGTTGAGCCAAAGCTTTTGCAACCTACATTTGTTTTGGACTATCCCATGGAAATATCTCCTCTTGCCAAACCACACCGGAGGTATGGAAGTTTAACAGAGAAGTGGTGGCATACATATGCAATGTTACATACGTGGATTTAAGCAAATACTTACCTTCACTTTCAGAATTATTTCCTCTTAGTAGTCTGGAAAACAGGCATGCAGGTTTGACTGAGAGATTTGAACTCTTCATTTGCGGTCGCGAGCTGGCCAATGCATTCTCTGAGTTGACTGATCCTTTGGACCAGGTAATAATGATACACCTTTTTTAGGCAAAAGGGTCAAAAAAGCCCTTAAACTAAAATTCAATAATCATCCAAGCCCCTATTGTTTTTTGGCAATCAATTAAACCCTCAAACATGTATCTTCACCGATTGAGCCCTTGTTAGAAGAAAATTGTTTAATTGTTTTTGTCCAATCAAGGGCCTATTTGATTGTTTAATTGTTTAATTGAGCCCTTGTTAGAGGAAAATTGTTTAATTGTTTAATTGAGTTGTTTGAGAGTTCAACTAGGTGAAAATAGATGTTTAAGGGTTCAACTGATTTAAAATAGAAGATTCAGGCCTTGATTGATTGCAATAAAATATCATGAGCTTAAATGGTTATTGAATTTTTGTTTGAGGGCCTTTTTGACCCGTTTACCTTTTTTTTTATACGCTAAAATTGGTGACTTTTATGACTACCTATTATGCAAATGATGAGCATTTGGATATTTTTACCATCAGCATAAGTCATCGTAGTGGGTTCTTAGTTGTTGTAGGTTAAGTTTCAATGATTTCTTTTTCTATGTGTAGTGTCCATTATGGAAGTGTGTGAATAAGTTGAAATATATGCTTTCAGTTTTTCTTTATCTGCTTACCTTCCCAATGGCCGTATATGGAATGCCTTTTATCCTTGTTGGGAATGGTACTAAAATGAGTTAAGGAACTGATTGCTTTTCCCTTGATTTCAGAAATAGCATATTTTATGAGTTTCCATGTTTTGTCAATTTGACCATCTTTTTAAACATTGTCGTGCTTTGTTGACATTGCCTAACAGTTAACCCCCCCCCCCCCAACCCTTCTCTCTGTTTAGTTTGTTTCCTCTCCATGTGCTTTACATCAAAATTTCTTTTCCATCTTTTCTTTCTGTGGAATGGAGAAGACTTCTAACAACCCCTCAAAATGGCTGAACTTTGAAATACTTTTGTTTATGAAATAAAATTATGTTTGTGCTTATCAATTTTCTTGACAAGATTGTTATTTCTGTGTGAATAGCTTTGGACAAGTAATATAAACAGGCAATGAATGGGTTGGAATAGTTGATGTGATTGATGCCTCACTGGTTCATTTACAGCCAGCGTGTGCATGTCTCCTTCATGAGATGCTTATTTGTTTATTACTCTGACAAAACTTTATAACGTGTTTAACGGCTTTCAAGATATAAAGCATGGTTGAAGAGTCTTACAAAGTCTCTTTCGGAATGATTTGCGAGATCATTGACAATGTTCTTGTGAACAGTGACTTTCCGTTGGTTTTAATTGTCATTCGTTTCCAATGGTGGCAGAGAGCCCGCCTGGAAGAGCAAGTAAGGCAACATAACAAGAAGAGAGCAGAAGCTGTTTCAGTCACAGATGGCACAGAAAAAAATAATAAAAATGAAGAATCTATGTATGAAGTAACTCTCGACGATGATTTTCTTACTGCTCTGGAATATGGAATGCCTCCAGCTTCAGGAATGGTATACTTATCTTGTTTGCAGATATTAACATATCATTCTTGTTGAATTTGTCATTCCATCTAATCACAAAGATGCTGGGTTATGACTGAGCCTGGTGCTTGCTATTGCTGCTTCTAAAACTGATCCTGTTCCGATAATTTTGAAGCTCCGATTGTCTTGAAATTATATTGTTGCACATAACCTGCATTTTCCATAACATACATCCATTGCTTTCGCTGTGCGTTTCTAAGCAAATCCTGATTGAACATTCTTGTTTGTAGGGACTTGGAATTGACAGGCTGGTGATGCTTTTGACGGATTCCGCCAGCATCCGGGATGTCATTGCTTTTCCTGTTCTAAGGATTTCGCACTAATGGCAGGATGACTCTACTAGATATTCTTAATTTTTTTTATTTCCCTTGAACATCCAATATAGGTCCTTTGTGGCCCCGGGATTTTGCATTGCTGGCAACATTGCCTTGTTTTTTTCTCAAAATTATCGATATCTTCTAGTTGATTTAGGCTGTATTTACACATTCTTGGATTTTGGCTTTTGTTTAGTCTAAATGTTTAGTTGATCGATCTGTTGATGCAACTACTAATCTTATTAATAAATTGTAACTTAAAAACTGTAGGAAATCATGATATTGAAAGGTTAAAATCGATTACTATAACTTTGATTTGATTTAAACGAGAATGGTGGTCGTGCTTTTCATGGGGTTATCTTTAAAAAAAATATATTTATATAAAATAACATCAAAATTAAATAATATCTAACAACAATAACAATAATATAATAACAACAATGGTAATAAAGATATTTATGTTAAATTATTAATGTTGTTAAAATTACATTGATTAAAAAATGAATTGATAATTTGAAAGATTTATTCACAATCAACTATGGTCAAAGGTCAATGGGGTATGTTGTCTTAGGTGTTTTGTTTTTTTATTTTTGGATGAATAAAGTTGTTCGGTTGTAAAATAATAATTAGTTTTCCATACAAAAATAATTTTTAGTATCATAAAGTTTTCCGCTAAATAGCATTTTAGAAAATATCGTTTCCAATAGGCAGCAATGATCAAGCAAGTTGTTTGAGAAAAATGAAAAAAAAAAAGTGAAAATAAAGGAGAAAAAAAATTTTAAGGAAATAGAACTGAAAGAAGCTCATGTCGAGTTACACCAAAAGTTCTGACGAATTTAAAGAATTCAATAAATGTTGAGAAATGAAAAAAAAATTGAAACCTAAAATACATAACAATATGAAATGTCACTCAATTTAAAAATAATGTAAGAAATTGTTTTTAATAAAAATAAAAAGAATCAAATGATAATGATGATTTATGTAAACAAATTTATGACTTTTTTTAAATACTTGTTGATCACCATAGTTAATACAAAAATTAAGCTTAAAAACCAATGCAAAGAGAAATTAAAATAAAAAAGAAACTTCCAAAAATGTAATTAAGAAAAGTGGGAGAACAAAAAGGAAACAAAAAGGTTAAGAAGATAAAAGTAAAAAAAGAAAGAAGAAAAACTATGTACGCATGGAAGTAGGGGTGTAAATGATACATTAGTACTCGCAAGCTACTCGGGTTCGATTCGAAAAAAACTCGAATTCGGTTCGATTATTGTCGAGTCGAGCTCGAGCTCGAGTAGCTCGATTTATCGATCGAGCCGAATTCGAGTATTATTATATCTGACTCGAGTAGCTCGCGAGCCTAATCGAGCTTTTATATTTAAATATATTTTTATTATTTTAATTAATAAAATATTTCGAGTCCGAGTTCGAGTTCGAATTCGAGCATGAATAATCGAATTTTTGTCGAGTATACGAATCGAGCTTATTTTTACATATTAATCGAGCTTAATCGAGCGAGCTCGAGTAGCTCGAATTCGATCACGAATCGAGCTCGAGCTTGAAAAATAAAACTCGATCGAGCTCGAGCCGAGTATCGAGCCCCGAGTTGTGAGTCGAGCTCGAGCTCGAGCCTCTCACTACTCGGCTCGGCTCGGCTCGTTTACAGCCCTACATGGAAGAGTAAAAGGGAAAGAGTCGTAAAGATGGCAATGGATCGGGTCAAAGCATATTTTTGCTTGCCGCACCTTTGACCCAATCTTCTTACATCTTTACCCGATCCCCTACTCACCTTCGATCGGAGTTTTTAGCAACTTTGAACCATAATGAAAAGGTTCATCTGACTACGGCTCACTCTGACTTAAATACTCAAAATTTTGCAAATTATAAAAAAAACTAATTTGTGGAAAAAGAAAAGCATTTTTATAGGTTTACACTTAATACTTTAAACTATGTCCAAATTTCAAATTATTCAAGAAAGAAATGATCAAGTTTTGACAGTTAAAAACCCAAAGAAATAAAGGACAAGTTAAAAGGATGTAACTTTGTAACCATTAGATGAAACCAATAGTTGATTCCATAAGTGCAAATATGGGCTTTTACCTCTTTTCCTTATTGATTTTGATAAGGACAAAAGAAATCTAGAGTCATCCTAAAAGAAAATGGTATCAATTGCATCAAAAATTTTATGACCTAAATGAAATTGATCAAATTCAAGATTAGAGGTTACAAAAACATCAACAAGAAACTAAAACAATCAAATTAAAGCAAACATCTGTAGACAAAATCTACAATTTTACAATTGCAAATTTAATAGTTCAAATTATACCAATAGTTATTGTATTTTATTGGAATTTGAAATTTAGTCCTTTTATTGTAATTCATACTAATGTATTCGTTATATTATTTTTATTTGATAATCATAGTTCAATCATTAACTTTGTCCAATTTTTGCCATTAAAAATTTTGATTTGACCATTGACTTTGCTTAGGTGGCATTTTCATTGGTGAATATGATTAGGCTATTGTTGGGAATTGGAAATCTAGATTCAAAGTAATATGTGGCAAAATCAAAAAATTTTCAATCCTTTAAGCCTTGGATCATGTTGATAAGATCATAACAAATATATATATGTAATTGTAAAGGCAATTTTACTTACTTTGCTTGTGATGGTGTCAAGAACGCTTCAAGAACCACAAGCTCGGTTGTTGCAAACCAATAGCTATCCAAGTGTTAGCCTCTAATGGTAATCCACACAAACAAGGTGAAAGAACCTCTTCCAAGAGATGGGAAGAACTCAAAACCAAAATCTCTAGCTAGTGATATTAGTTGACTGTTCCTTTTGTGTTTTCTCTAAATTGTTCTCAACACATTAGATGTCTATTCTATTAAAATGTTACAAGAGAGGGGGCGACTTAAGTTCTTTATATAAAGACAAGGAGTAAGGAAAAGCCTTAGGGTTTTCTTATGCTTAATTATATTTTTAATAGAATAACCTATTAGCCAAGTCTTATTCTCAATAGGATTACTATATTGGCCAGCCATAAAATTTTCTATTTAATATTGGGTCTTTGTATGTTTTTCTATATTGGGTTTTAACCCAACAAATTAAGTCCAACTTAATTTGTCCCAATTTTAGCATTTCACACCATGTGTGATCCATTAGATTCCTTAACATGTTAGCAATAAATATAGGCAATGTAATCCTTGGTTCGGATTAGATAAATTAAACTATTTTGACTTCACCATTAACTCTCTAATTAACTAATCTTATATTCATATATCCTAATAAATACTAGCCATATTGCCATGACCTCTAATTGCTAAGGAATGCTAAAGTGGTTTGATAGCCTATTCATGAATGGTTTTGTAGTATAATTAATATCTTTTCATCACTTAATATCTTGGTTTAACATTTAGCATATATTAGTGTCTATTTAACCTTGTTCAACCATATTAAGTCTTGCTTTTGACATTAATCTTGAATAAGCTTTAGAATTATTTTAAAACCTTATTCCATTTTGGCCAAAGATTTATTAAGTTAATTCAATTAAGACTAAGTGAGATATTCACTTGCTCACATGAGGTGATGTCACATATTGATTACTTGATGCATCTTCATGTGCCTCACGTTATACTCAACAATACTTGACTAAAGCTTCCATGATTAGAACCATGAGTAAGCAAAGTCAAAGTATAACATTCATCATATAAGATCATAAGTATACTCAAGTCAAAGGATCACATATACAACCTGTTGGTATTTACCCTTCAAGCTAAATAATTTTTTGACTAAGACATTGCCATATTTATGATACTTTGACATTTGATGTCTTATAAAGGTCTTGTTTATTTATCATTGAGCTTATTTACATGTATTTCATTGTTGATGCTTATATGATAAAGTTCTCAAAATATAAATAAAGCTTTGTAAGGGAATTGCAATAAGATTATAATTATGAGATCATCATTGCAAAAATGCTATAGGTTTCAAAAATTGTTCCTAGTCAATGCTTTATCAATAAGAGGATATTGACGAAAGTTATTGAGACTATCACATGGTTATGTTCTTACTTATAAAGCAAGCAATCGATCTCATAGGTTGAAGTTTGGGTAAATTTAAGCTAACATGTTGGTGTTTGTTACAAGAACAAGTTCACTAACTATAACCCAAGATGAGAATGCTATATGGTATATCACAGTGTTTATAACTACATTTTTATGTGATGGTTGTATAAGTGATCCTTTGACTTGAGATTACTTATATTCTTATATGATGAATGTTATACTTTGACTTTATTTATAGTTTTAACCAAGAATGCTCCAATTGAGTATTATTGGGTATAACATTAGGCATATAAAGATGCATGAAGTAATCAAGATGAGATTTTATCACCTTGTGATCAAGAAGGTATCTTAATTTGTCTTGATTGAATTAACTGAAAAAATCTTTGGCCAAATTGAAATAAGAGTTTAGAATTGTTCTAAAGCTTATTTGTGAGTTAATGTCAAAAACAACTTAACATGGTTGAACAAGATTGAATAGATACTAAACCATACTCAATGTTCAAATCGAGATATTATGTGATAAAAAGGATATTAATTACACATTAAAACCATTCATGAATAGGTTGTCTAGTCGTATTGACTTTTTTTAACAATAGAGAATCATGACAATGTAGCAAGCATTGATCATGATCTATAAATATAAGATTGGCTAATTAGAGGATTAGTGACAAAGTCAAAAGGTTTGATTCATCTATAGCCAAATGTAAAGGCTCACAATGTTTATGTTTATTGCCAACATGCTAAAGAACCTAATAGATCACACACAATAGGACAATTGTGAAAGATTAAAATTGGGACAAAATAAATTGGACTTAATTTGGTTTTGGTGATAGCACCTAAATATATAGTGTTTTCACATGTCAAAAATGGTGCCAAAATTTAAAATTTGGATGATTTTTGGTGCTTTTCATGTTATTTTCATGGTTTTAGGTTTTTAAGCTTAAGAACTTCATTTTCATGCAAGCCATGCATGTAAGCATGCAAAGGAGAAATATTGGCTCAATTTTGTAAGCTTATTGCCATCACACCTTGATCCATATTCATGCAATTTTAAGCTTATTTGGACTTATCATGTTCGACCAAATAAGAAATGTGATCCAAGCATGACTTCTTTGCTTAGCCATGAAGAAATTATGTTGCATAAGGACTCTACTCACTCGGCCTTGCAAGGGATAAGCTCAATTTGCAAGATCATGGACTCTACAAGCACAATCCTATTCAGCCAAGACCATTCAAGAAAAGCTCCATGCAATTTTTTCACAATGAAAACCAGGTACATT